AGACTAGAGAGAGGGGCTCGATCGATCAAGTGTACTACTACATCATAGATTAATCTATTCGAGATCATAGATTAATCCATCCGAGATCACGTCGCGCACGCATGGCATGGCCATTGGCCAGCGTGTGCACTGCACGGACGACCGCACGGCCTCGTTTCTGTGGCTCGTGGCCTCGTGCATCGATGCCAACTGGTGCAGCTAGGAGTACTACGACCAGCGGTCGCCATGAACAGTGGAGTAACGTGTGTGCGTGCGGGCGGGCTCGCTGCTCGATCGGCCTCGGCGCGCATGCATGCTGGTGCATCAACATCACGAGTTCATCATTCCAGGGTACAGGTACAGCACGGAGTGACCAAAGTGGTCAGAATCAGACGGGGAACAACGCTCGGCGCAGGGGCACGCGTAGCGGCTGCAGAGGGAAAAAGGTGCCGCGGCGCGCCATCCGTTGTACTACTTCTATCCTATCTGGTCTCGTACGAAGCCTCGTACTCTGACAACCTTTCTCGACGTTTTTTCTTTTTCTCCTGCGGTTCTCCAAAGCGATTTCTGGAGTAGCGAATTTTAAGATCGGACTACGAGGTACAGTATTACTTGAATCGTTTCGTTTTGGGGTGATTCATAGCAAATTTGTTCTGGGTAGGGAGATATTCACAGCAGAGAGTGTTCAGCACTTTAGCGGAACGATGCGGGCCCGGATCATCGAGCTACTAACCGCAGTAAAACGTCCCCCGTGGCTAGTTGATGGGCTGCACCGTTTGCCACAGCCGTATTAGGTGGGCCATTAAAGCCCATGTAGTAACTTAAGAGCAGGAAAGAAATAAGTCTGTATTCTCTTCCTCATCTCTTAGTGCTGATTAAATCGCCTCCCTTAATTGCAAAATCAGGTATAACGTCTCCAAATCTTTGAAAACGTGTAAATTGACTCCTTCGATGGTTTGGAAAGTGATTTTTGCTGACGTGGCAAGTTGGCTGTGGTTTTGACTCGCTAAGTTAACAGGTGGGATCCCACATGTTAGTGACGTCCTCATCTTATCTTCTTCCTCACCTCTCCTTCCTCTCTCTTTCCAAGAAAAGCTACAGAACGATATCCCGTCGTCACGGGACGATTAATGAGAGCGAATCGTTGTCTGCCTCATATGCAAGATGTCGATAGGCTCCCCACGACCCACATGATGAACTTGTTGGGCTTTTATCGCATTGTCTTGCCGAGTGTGAACGTGACTTCTTCTTCCATTAGTCGTAGGACACACGCAAGAGGTGCTCACATGCTAGCTGGGCCTGCAGGAAAGAGCCATGGTCAATTATCTTGTTTTATGTTTATCTTTTTCTTAATTATCTTGTTTTAAGTATCATATCTGATATATATATATATAGGTATCATGTCTAATACCCAGGTACCATATATGATATCCACGGTATCTACAAATCTGATACCTAGGTATCAAGTCTAAATATCAAGTATGATACCCAAGTACCATATATGATACCCTAGGTATCAGGTCTAAGTATCAAGTATGATACTCAGGTACCATGTATGATACCCACGATATTTACGAAATCTAGTACCTAGGTACCAGGTCTAATTATCAAATATGGTACCCAAGTATCATATATGATACTCACGATATCTACAAATTATGATACCTAGATATTGGATATAAATATAAGTATGATACCTAGATACCACATATGATACATATGGAGTACCAGGTCTGTTACCTTGTAGGTTCATAACATATACGGTACTATGTAGTACCAAGTATCATGGGATTTCATAGATGATAAGTACATGATTTCTCCATACTTTGTAATAATTAGTCATAGATGTGTGTATCTTTATTGGTCTAACCTAATTAGCACATGACCCAACAAGAATATTTATTGTGAAGATATGTACTTCCTCCATTCCATAATATAAGGCACGACTACTTTTTTTAGATGTTCCATAACATAAGGCATGTATGCAAGCATACAATTAACTATGACCTTTTCTCTATTAAATTATTACTTTTTTGAATCCTCCACTCTCATGTTATCTAATTCTATTGGATGCATGCCATTATATTTATTAGGATGATCCAAACTACAAGATGATAATAATTATTTCTTGGTCTTTAGGTTAAGAGTGGTTGTGCCTTATATTTTGAAATGGAGGGAATATCAATTGTCCTAATCTCATCAGCATATGGCCTAACGAGATACTACTAGACTATTATTAGTCCATATCAGCGTTTAGACCAATAGGAAAACTCTTTTCTTAGTATCAGCCCACCTGAGTCCCACCTAGGCCAACCAGTCCCGCTTCCTTACAGTTCAACCAAACTAATCCAGATAGGAGACTTGATTACATGAGCACTACCGCCACGTCCTTTCCGGGAAGGGGGGGGGGGGGGAGCAGCATGTCGTGCACGATCAAGATCATAAACTATACCGTCAGATGAATGGTATTCCATCCCCTAGCTGTCCTCTTTCATATATTCTCTCTTCCTCCATCTTCCTCCTTTGTCCTTTCTCACTGTCCAGTGGTAGTGGAGCCCGGGAGGGTGGTGGCAATGGCTAGCCGAACCCCTCGAGCATTCGGGGAAGCTTGGGGAGAGGAGACGCCGACGACAACATTAGAGTTGGGGAGGCCCGGCGAGAGCATGTCGTTGCGACTCTTCACCATTGGCTTCCGCAGTGCACCCGCTGCTTGTTTCACTCCCTCATGTCACCGCGTGCATCCCAGTATCCCATGCCCCCACGACGATGATGTAACTGTTGCCACCCCCTCCCATCCTGCACAAGCACTTGATCACGACCGCCGCCACCACCACCACTGATTTACTCGACACCTTCTCGCCTTCCCATCTGGAGTTGAAGCAGGGTCAACGAGCTGGCAGCTAGTGAGGAAGGCGGTTCACGGCAGAGGATGAGAGGAGGGAGGCAAGGGAAAGGGGCGGTGACAAGGGAGGTGACAAGCTCGAGCTCTCCGTTCCATCCATCATGTTCCTCCCCCCGATATGCTATCCCGTCAGCCGTCTTCCTCAACCGATGTGCCATCCCGTCTATCGTCTTCCTCCCCTGATGAGTTGTCCCATCTATCAGTGTCAAGGATAAGGCATACCTCCTATACACATGTTCGTGGCATACGATAATACTATATACCTGATATTATAAGAGAAAGTATCCTTTAGTTAAGGAAATATGACAAAGAAAGAAGGAATTATCTTTCCGAAATAGAAGGTGCCAGAATCTTAGTCGGGAAAGATAAGGTCTCCTTAAACCCGTGTCCTGTTATATGTCCTTAAACCAGAATATGGGAGATACGGGAAATATGACAAAGAAAGAAGGAAATTATCTTTCCGAAATAGAAGGTGCCAGAATCTTAGTCGGGGAAGATAAGGTCTCCTTAGAAGCCATAGAGAAGAAGATGATCTACAGTACATATAACAGACCCTGACATCGAGTTACAAATCATAGCCAAATCCACACCCAGAAGCAATCCAAAGGAAGCTAGCGTCCTATTCGCTGAATTTATCTCATCGGACCGTTCTCAACAACTTTTAGTCGGCAGATAAGTCTAATCGTCCTATTCCACATTTGTAATCCATGTGATATTTCAATCCATATATACATATAAATTGGAGCAGGGTAAAAGTTATTACTCATCTTGAGAGCCTGGACCATTATAAATCTTTGTCTCGTGTTCCGTAGATCCGATCTCACATACATCCTGGTTCCGACGATCCCCATACTCTACAAATGCCGTTTGCGAATATATCTCGTCGACACTATCCACTGTCTTCCACCCCCAATGTCCCGTCCGATCCCCCAATGCGTCGTGGTCTAGGAGGCTTGCGACAACCAGATTGTTGCGTCGGTAGAATCCTCACGCGCTTAGCTCCCTCACCATGGGAGGAGATGTTGCCGACGAGGGCCTCGTGCTGTAATAGCGCAAGGATGCCGAGGCGCGAGGATAAAGGGTAAAGGATGCCACAGGTCGAGGAGACCTCCTCTTCGTCGCCCTTGGCTACATGTGTCACCCCCGACGTTGGCTAGAGCAAATGTGGTAGATGGGAGATAGTCAAAGTGGAGGCACTGTGGAAGGAGGAAGAACCGCTGACGGGAAGGAGCATGACGCTAACGACGGTCCACCCGTGATGGAGCCTAATGAGGCTCGCTTGGCATCGCCATCCGTGATAAAGAAGGTGACGCTAGTGGGAGGTAGGTGGGTGTGAGCCCAGGATCAATGATGTCACCACCTCTAGTCCGAGAACATTATCGGCTACTTAGGTTGGTTCCTGCACTACAACAGCCTTGTGGTCATGGACCTCCTCCGCCTATAGCTTCCCTACATTGCTAGAAAGCGCCGCACCCGTCACCGGCAAACTCTAGGGCCTTGAGGAGGAGGTGGGCACCGAGGGGAAGAGGCCAGTAAGCTCGCCGCTTCCTGCCACCTCTACTCAGTGGATGGGATGAGACGAAGAGAGGGGCCCTTGCTACATCGTCCCTATAAGCTGAAGCAGTCGATAGGAGAAGAGAAAAAGTACACTTGACATGTGGGTCTCAAATGTTATTTTAATTTATTTTCCTGGTTGTAATACCATGTTAGATGAAAAACATGTTTTAATAAGAGGGCTGCTACAAAACAGGATCCCGTTTTGTAGCAGCCCTCTCAAAAAACCTAGACTACGGTATCCCGTTGGTATTTAATAATGTGGGTGTTACTTAGGATAAAACCGGTATAAAAACTACTCAAAGAGGTAAAACAAACAGGTTTAGAAAGTTGGAGGTATCTGGTTTTATGATTAAGGGACGGGTATGAGACAAAGGCTATAGTTGAGGGATGTATAATGGACTTTTACCATGTGAAAAATGTCAAAACAGACCATCCTCTTAAACTGGTGGCCCACAATGGTATCTTCCCACACAGAAAATAGCTTTTGACCGGAGTCCAAAATTGGTTGAACTGCTTTAACATCCGTCCCAGAAGAATAACACTGCTCGCAAAAACCAGAAATTTTCTGGACATACGGACATACCTGCGCGGCTGGCGACTGGGTGCGGTTGCACTCCCGCGTAAAACACGTCACATTCTAACTTGCTTCAAACAAACGCCATCATCCATCGGATCATCCCATCTTCCCTAAGCCTCGGGGCACCAAGTAGCGTTCGGTACAGACCCCCATCCTCTCCCACTAGCTCATCGCCTACGAATCCCCGTCCGATTCCTGTACGCTTCTTGCAGGCTTGCAGCTCTCAACCTCCTCGTCGACGCCGGGGAAGGGAAGCCTGCGTTCGGGCGAGCGATGGAGCAGGGAAGCGAGAGGCAGGACGAGCGGCCGCCGCTCCCGTGCGCGAACGGCTGCGGCTTCTTCGGCTCTGCCGACACCCGTGGCCTCTGCTCCAAGTGCTACCGCCAGACCGTGATGTCCCAGGCCTCCGCGCCGTCGGCCGCAGCACAGTCCGCGGAGCACGACCAGGTGGTGTTGCCGGCGCCGGAGGGCGTACCCGTGGACGAGGGGGCGATGCCGCCGCCGCCGCCGCGGCACGGGGCGAAGACGAAGAGCAGGTGCGCTGCGTGCGGGAGGAGCGTGGGGCTGATGGGGTTCGAGTGCCGCTGCGGTGCCGTGTTCTGCGGCGCGCATCGCTACTCGGACAGGCACGACTGCGGCTACGATTACAGGGGCGCCGGGCGCGACGCCATCGCCCGCGCCAACCCCGTCGTGAGACCCGACAAGGTGGAGAAGCTCTGAAAAAAAAGGAAAAGCTACAACTGCTCGATCTTGCCAACATTGCCATGCCCGAACCAAACGATTGGTCGATTGCTGATTTGCTTCTCGTGCGAGATGGAGTCGGTACTCGGTACTGATCTATGTATGGAGATATGATATATGTAGAGATTGGAAATTGATGATTCTGTGTGGCTTATTGTGTTGCGCACATATCACTTCGATCTTCTAAAACTTTCAGTTAGCACAATACCGTGGCAGGATACAATTTTATTGTTCATGGAAGTAGCTGCCAATTCTGAATCTATAGCACAACCATTTGCAGATTTGCTCCCTTTCTTTTGCAGTATTAAAGACGTTAGTTGTTATAATGAGTAAAACTTCCTTTGGATGCTTAAGCAACATGCGCATCTGGTGTAGTGGTATCATAGTACCCTCCCACGGTACTGACCAAGGTTCGATTCCCTGGATGCGCATTCTTTCAGTTTTTTTAGCCATTATATTTGCCAAGTGATATCCCTGCTCACCTGTTGCTTTTGTCCGCCATTTCGAATGCCAAGTGCTATCTCTTCTCACATTTACTTTTGCTTACCATGTCATATGCTCGTCCTTGATTACAAAAATGCCTACTACGATCTTCATTTATTTGCATACTCAATTTTTCGTCACTGAAATCCAAAATGTCCGTCCAATTGCAGAATAGCTTGTGTATGTATTGCTCAATGCACACCATCTGTTCGTCGAAACGTCGACATAGATCAATCAGCAAGTAGCGGATCATTCCAGTGTTGATTTTCCAAAATGCCTGATCGTTCCGGCATAGTGGCAATCGAGGCCAGCTACAACAAGCTTGTCAGTTGTCACCGTCCTAATTCACGATTTCACATGGAGCCGGTCAGCCGGATGCAACGGGAGCTCTGCTGTGCTTCTCGGCGTAGACAAAATCGGTGATCCTCTCCAGGAGCACGTCGAAGTCGTCCTGTGTCTTGAGGAGGTTCACCCGCGTGTACCGCGAGATGATCCCCGCCGCCAGCAGCAGCGATCTCGCGGCAGTCGACGTCTTCCTCCCACTCGCATTTCACCCACGCGTAGGCTGCTCATCAGGAGAGACCAAACACACCAGACACAACTTCAGCCCCGTCTCCGTCCAACACCGTCGCCACCTCGCATCACCACCACCCAGCCAGTCGCCTGAACACGCCCCGCCCCCGCAGCATTCATCAGCCCACTCAGATCTTCTCATTTAAACTCTTTCTCCGCTGCAGTCCACGAACTTGTAAGAGTGTGCAGCCGGGCAGCATTCATCAGCCCACTCAGATCTTCTCATTTAAACTCTATCTCCGCTGCAGTCCACGAACTTGTAAGAGTGTGCAGCCCGGCCACGTATCGTAGGTCACCTAGGTCACATTAGGCCAACTTCACCACAGGCCCAACCGAAACCACAACTATATATCCTGAGTCTACACAACCCAAAATACTAGTCTGATGAAAGAGAACTGCCACCACCTTTTAAGTTGTCCTCCCCCACCATCAATTATTGATGTGGGACTAAACCCAAGCAACAATCTTCCCCGTCACATCAACCCATGTGACCCCGAAGACTTTTACCTGGCCTCCCCCACCATTTGACCTTTGGAAATTGTTTCGGATTTTAAACCTAAGTTCTGGTACCACTTATTAGATAATCAGTCCGAAATTACCATCAGAAACCAAACACGGAAGAAACTCCATAGGAGATCTAAACATGATGACAACACCGAGGCACGATATTTGTTAACGAGGTTCAGCCGAAGCCTACATCCCCGGGGCACAGTTTATGGGGTGCTACTCCTCAATTCAGTATATTACAGCATACCAGAGTTACAACTACCCTGGGCCGGACGCCGCTGGCAGACGCTACCTCTCGCTATGCTAAGTCGTCATATCCGGTTACAACAAGTTTGTCCTTCTAATTAAAAGGATACTAGCATAGAGTCTGACTCTTACTCTACTCCAATAACTAGTACAACTACAAGTCCTAAATTGTAACCGACTTTGTACGCATATTCGACACAAACTCTAATAGAGTGTGGAGAGTAACTCCGTCGCCACTGCCATCCACAAGCCGACGCAACCTAGCCGCCGCTCGCAAGCCAGCGAGATGCCTGTCACCGCCACCGTCGCCGTTCACCACTGTGCTCCCAGCTTCGGCGGCAAACCTCAGCCCATCTGCCTGGGAGCCGAGGAAAAAGCCCCATCACCACCGTCCTTCCACTGCGCGCACTCCCGGCAGCCAGCTCAAGCAGGGGCGAGACGGGCGGATGCGAGCGGAGGGGAAGAATCGGTTGAGGGAGGTATTTTCGGCTTGAACTGGCCCGTCAATTATATATATTCTAAGAAGATAGCGAGCCCATTGTTTCGCTTAGAATAAGCCAAATGGCATATTTGCATACGAAAAGTAATTTGTGAAAAAAAAATATATACGTGTTCTTAGCTTAGCGATCTAAAAGCAAAAGCTAAAAAATAAACTTCGATGAAAAAACCTTATCAGCTCGAAATTTAAGATTATAAATTAAAATTTTGGTTGATAAGCATAAAAGATGAGGATGTGTTTTGACAAATCAACAACGATTTTATAGGAGACCCGATTATAAGAATGAAAGGATGGACACATATCTTATTTTAGATACTAATTAATGAATAAACAGAACGGACACAAAGCAGACAAGCAAAACTATCTACTCCAGGGAAAGGGCTCTCGCATCGCCCTCTCCACGGGCGACACGAGAGGTGACGCCGCCACCGTCTTCTTCCTCCTCCTCCCCTCCTTCTCTGCCTCGCCGCCGCCTGAGCGGGCGCCGGCAAAGTCGCGCGGCCGCAGGGACGGTGGCGGCGGGGCTTCGCCTCAGCGCGCGCTCGGCGGCCCGGGGAGCTGGCCGGGCGGCGACGGTGGCAAACCGTCCGAATCCGCGCCCGCCTGGCCGGATCCGGCGGGGCAGCGCTTGGCGGCGGGGCGGAGTGGTGGCGGCGGTGACTGGCGGTGCCTGGTGGTGGCGTATAGGGCCGGCGGCGGCGGAAACCCCCGCCCAGATCCGCGCTATTTTGGCCAGATTTGGTGGGGCTGACGCCGGGCGACGGCGGGCGGCAGGGAAGCAGGCGTGCTGGCAGCGGGGAAGAGGCGGCGACGGTTGCGCGGGCGGCGCAGCTGAGGTCGTGGGCGACGCGGTCAGGCGCGTGTGAGCGTCACCAACGGCGGTTGAGGCCGTTTGCCCGAAGGCCGGTGAGGATGGCGACGCGGGGCAAGCTCACGGCGGTGGCGGAGCAAGCTCGCGGCGGTGGCGGCACCGCGGAGCTCGCGGCGACGTCGGCGGCGGCAACGGTGCGGGAGCACGGGGCGACGGCGACGGTGGTAACGGCGTGGATTTCATGGCGATGGTGGCATCAGCGGCTTGTCGGCGGCGACAGCACGGTGGCTGGTCGACGGCTTTGGCGGCTGTTGGTGGCTGTGGCATTGGGGCTCTCGCGGCGGAGGCAGCAGCGCGGAACTCGTGGCGACGGTTGCGGTAGCGGCTGGACGACGGCGATGGGGCTGCGGCTGGTTGGCAGCGAGGTGGCCGTCGGCAGCAGCGGCCGTGGTGGTGGTGGGAGTTGGCATGGTGGCCTCGGTCGGCTAGCCGAGGAGGTGGCAGACGGCTGCATCTGGCCGGTGCGGGAGAGTACGGAAGAGGGGTCGGAGACCGGCTTGGCGCAGAAAGGCGCAGCCGATGGCAGTGGAGGCCGGCTCGGCGCGAGAGGCGCGGGCGGCGGAGATGGAGGGCGGCTTGGCGCGAGAGGCGCGGCCGATGGAGGGAGGCCGGATTGGCGCGAGAGGCGCGTCCGGTGGAGGAGGCCGGTTCGGCGCGGCCGGCAGAGGAGGAGGCGACCCTGGTGCGAGGAGGAGATGCCGGTGGGCGTGGCACGATCTTCGGCGCTCGAAGGCTGGCCGGCGGGGGCGCCAGTGCGGGGGTCCCACATGTAGGCAGAGGTTGTGTGGTGGTGGAGCATCGGTGCGTCAGCCATGGATTCGCAGGTGGTGTGCGGCGGGTGAAAACCCAGTCCGGCCTTGCCGGGCTGACAACGATGGTTAATTCCCCCTCCTGAGGGCGTTGTCGTGCTGTCTCACCCCTCAGGGCGATCTCGTCTGTGTTCTTTTGTTGGTTTAGCGGCGGCCGGTCCGATGCTAGCATCCTCCTGGTCGTGTGTGTTGGCGCTGTAGGTGTGTGGGGTTGTATATTTTTTTCTTTTTTCCTGGTTATGACCCTCCAGGGTTATAATCTTATAATTTTTTCCTGCTCTATCAATAGAACTTCGCACCGTCTCGTGCGAGTCGTTAAAAAAAACTATCTACTCCGGGATTAGTCAAGGAGAAATGCGGCGGGAGAAGTGCCATGGACCCGTAGTGGTTTACTGGTATGTCGTTTTAAGACGAAATTAATTGATGCTATGAACATTTAATTAAATCGGACCCGGTGACAGCCTTATGATATGATACTACACGCCAACTACTCCCTTGGTGTACGTGACACCGTTGTCCCAGATCATTAATGAAGAAGCCTGGAGGACAATGGCCATTTTTTATTTGCGACGGGGCTATAAACTATCATGGGCGTACTCCTCCTTCCAAAAATAGTTATCTTTCTATTTTTTTAGAACAAATTAAGATTTAACACGCAAAGAATATATTACCCCTTATTTGAATGAAAGTAAAACAGTGATAAAGGTAGAATAGGTAGAAATTTGAATTTGAGGTGACTGATGTGACTAGTATTACTCTCAAGTGACAAGTACTGTGGAATTTAAACTTTGAAAAGACAACTATTTTAGGACAAGGAACTACCATACAATATGACAATGAGATCTTTAGTAGGTAAAAAAAATATCATTAAAGATAGTAAAAGAAGATGCCACTAATACTAGTTCAAAGGTAAAGATAAATAGAGAGAAGAAAAGAAACAAATATAACAAAGTAGTCATGGTATTATTAACAGAACACTAGAGGATATATCGCGTTTAATTTATGGATATTGGAATTAGTATTAGTGGCGCTAAGTTATGTTGACATTTTAATCTTTCATAAATAAAATGTGAAAAATATATATGCTCTTACGTGAGAAAAATATAATGCTAACCGCATATCCTGCTATTAGCTGATTCAGTGGTAGTAGGTGATTCTAACTTGATGACGATATTCAGAGACTACTAGGGCCTGTGCATCTGGTGTAGTGGTATGGTATTATAGGTGTGTTTAGTCCCTGAAAAAAGTTGAAAGTTTAGGAAAAGTTGGGAGTTTGGAAAAAATTTAAAAGTTTATGTGTAGGAAAGTTTTTGATGTGATATGATGTGATGGAAAATTAGAAGTGTGGGGTAGTTGGGGTGAATTAAACACGGCCATAGTACCCTTCCACGATACCGAGTCAGGTTCTATTTTCCGGATGCACATTTTTTTTCAATGCAACTAAGTACTATCTTAGCCCGCATTTTCGTTTTTGCATGTGCTATCTCTGCCCACATTTTCCCTTTTGCTCGCACCCATGCCATATGCATATCACATTACCATTTTCCCTGCCATGCCATATGCATATCTTTTCTTTTACTAACCGGCACATAACAGTATCAATATAATTGTATAGAGTATGATTAAAAGTATTTACAAAGAGTTCGAAAAGGAAATAATTATATAAGTGTTTTTATGGAAACTAAGGTAACATATTCATAAGTCTTTTTGCTCCCGCTCGTGCCCAAGTTTTTCCTTCTCCCTTTATCTTAGAGGCACATATTAATGTTTTTAGAGAAACTTCAAGGATGACGCATGCTGATGGAGTATGCACACAAATTAGTGTTCTGCCTTAAGTAGTAAATGTAACATGTATGATATTCATTTAATTACATATTCAATTGTTGATCACTGAAACACATAATTGCTTGTGTATATCTACATCATTCGTCAATACACACAAATCAATATCTACCTGTTCGTCCAAATATTGACGGGGAACAATCAACGTCTAGCTGATCATTCCCCTTGATTATTGTACCCATGAACTTACCCAAGAACAATCAGATAGTAGAGCTGATCGTTCCGGCACAGCGCCCATCGAAGCCAGCTAGACGAAGCTTGGCACCCTCTCAATTCACGATTTCTCACATGGAGCTGGAGCCACCGGGAGCTCTGCCGTGCTCCTCGGCATCGACGAATTCGGTGATCCTCTCCAGGAGCACGTCGAAGTCGTCCTGCGCCTTGAGGAGGCTCATCCGCGTGTACCGAGCTTCGGCCTCGGATAAAGTGCCGGACCGCGAGATGATCCCCGCCGCCAGCAGCGTCTCGTAGCAGTCGACGTCTTCCTCCCACTCGCATTTCACCCACGCGTAGGCTGCCCATCAGGGGGAGACCAAACAAGCCAACACATGAGCACAAAGATTTTGGTTGACAGAAATTGATTTTGAGTGTTAGCGAGCGAGACAAACTGATCACCTGGCGATGGCTCTTTGATCCGGTTGAAGTAAGTGCAGTACTGGGGCGGTATCTTCTGCAGCGAGATCCGGGTGGACCGCGACACGACGGCGTTGAGCCTTCGCCATCGGCTCCTCATCACGTCATAGCCGAAGGCGAAGATGTCCTCCTTGCCGTGCAGGTTGGCCAGTATCACCTTTAGGATCTTCAGCATCCGGAGCTGGGTGTCCCGGGACGCGCCCATGATGCTCTGCTCTACGTACGAAAGTGCTCTTTTCGCCACCTTCTCGTCCCTTATCAGCGCCCATCTGCGCAACGCACAGCACGGTATGACGTATATGTAGTGTACAAGTTTTTGCGTCGTTGTGTTCACGTGTCGCTTGCAATGTCAGGCTTAATTTGAGGGCGTGTACCCGAATCTGCTGCCGGCGTGGCCGGAGAGCTTGGAAGCGGTGAAGAGCATGACGTCCTCGTCGGCGGGCGCCGGGATGTGCGTCAGGTGAGGCCAGTAGTACGCGTGGTCGACGATCGCCGACGAGCCGGCGAGGACGGGCTTGCGCAACGCGGTGTCGGGGTTGTTCGGCGAGGTGACGAACTCGATGAAGCCTTTGGTGGAGTTTCGCGAGCCGTTGTTTGACCACGTAGCGGTGGTGCCGTCCCATCTGTACTCCCGGCCGTCAAACATGTCGGTTTGTGACTTGTACGCCTACACATATCATCGATCAAAGCAGTTCACTTCAGCACGACTTAATTAACTGAGATCATCGTCAATGGCATGGTTCGCATGCAGGTTGTCAGCGTGTGGTGGTGTTTGGAATCACGGACCGGGTAATACGGCACGGTGGCGACGACGCTTGCCGGCGGCGAGTCGGCGTTGCCGTCGGGGGAGAGCGCGTACACCAACGCGTTGATGAGCTGCATGGAGCCGGCCCCGAAGACCAAGTACTTGTCGTCGACGACCGCGTTGCCGACGGCCCTGTGCAGCAGCCGGATGTGGCGATCGAGCTCGACGGAATGGAAGCGGCCGCCGGTGGTGATGTAGCTCAAGCGGTGCCACCCGGAGAACACCACGGCGCTGGCTGCCGCGTGCCGTCTCCAGTACGGCTCCAGGAACAACGGGTTCCCGCTGCACAAAACCATTGCAGGATTAGTGTTAGGGAGTACGTGCCGTGCTACGTACCAGCGGCTGTGCTACACATTCTGTACGGAATGATAGCTCATTTGAGCATTTGCAATGTGGGGGCCCCAAACCAGAGAGAAGAATAAAAGACCGACTCTACACATTGTATGGACCTTTTGCATAGATACACCTAAAGGAGAGAGGGGAAATGATCTCGAGTCAAATACCAGGAGAATACTAGTACACGCGCCCGGTTAGACAAGAAAAATAAAAATGCGGCGCTGCTACTGCTACATCTTCCTCCCTCGTTCCCATCTTAAATAATTTTTATTTTAAACTACTTATCTGATCTATAATCCGAGTTGTATTCTTCGTAATTAAATTTTTACAACAAGATATCACATGATTATGTATATTCTAATAAAAAAATATATATTTCAACCTGTTAAAATTTAGTGTTTCATACGTGATAGCAATATGTTTCAATGTGTGTTCCATTAGTATGCATATGTGGTAGAGTTTAGGATCCTTAAGTAAATTATATATTGTGGATGTTCTTAATCTCACACGCGCCAGTTAAAACTGATATATTGGGCTGGTCTGTCAGTATTTCCGGTAAGACCCAGGTTAAAACAGATTTTACTTGAGCCAGGTTTGTACGGCCCAAATATTGACATTTAGTCCTTGTTTAGATACGGCCCAGCCACATGTGTGGGCAACGATTGTTTTGACTCGACCTGTATAATGCTAGACCGCAGAGACAAACAAAAAAAAAATTAACCTGATCTCTCGATATTTTCCAGCGATGACGTAAAATCCTACTTCTAGAACTAGAAGTAGTCATGGAAGAAGATTAATTTGGGCTGGAAGATTAATTTAAACTATTACTTAAAAAATATTTGTACGTTGCAACAGAAAATATACTAATTTGAAATTATGCCACCATGCATGAATAATTAATATTCGGTCACAACTGATTGTGACGCCGACTTGTGTACATCCATCACCCGATCACGGAAATTGTTAGTTTAAGCTTCATGATAAAAAAAAAATCCTAAATTGTCACATCACTTATAATAGGGAAAATAATGACACGAAATTATAACCCACTTTGGTTCAAAACTGATACCATATCATGAAAAATATCTAGTTAAAATTTCCGATGGTTCTTTTTAGTTGGAAACATTTTTTCTAGTTGATTTTATTGGGTTGTTATGACTTAATTTCTTGTGCTCGTCTTCTCCTCGTGTACTTTGTGGCCTTGATAAGCTGACGTTCTGTTTCTAATATTTTTCTTTGGAGTTTGGTTCGGTAACACAGGGCCACAAAATACATGATTCTGTTGATTGCTTTTGTTGCGAACAGTATTGGCTTCCACTCACCGTCAGTTTTAGAAGCGGGATCATGTATGCAGAGATGCGAACAGTATTGGAATCAGTAGTCGCTAGGAATCAGGATACGGGGTGATTAGAGGAATCATAAACAGGATTATGTACCAAAACGGAAGAAACAAATAAAATAGATCAGGACTCAAGGAGCGACGGATGAAGAGGCATGAGTACAGAAAACTCTTTAATTATTATAATAGGTAAAGACTGTAGTATTAATTATTGTGGTGACAGGATGGTTAGATATGTTTCATGTGAAATTGTTGGGGCAAGAAACACCTCTTGCAAGGACATTAATTTGGGCAATAACATTAACTTAAACTTTGGGAGTACCTATTTTTTTATAGAACTAGTATGCAATAAATAGTGGAACTATCAAACAGAGGTGCACTGGTAGTGGTTACTGCAGCTGGGGTTGGAGCTTAGATTCAAGTTGAAATGAGGAACAATTATGACTATAAATAGCGCAGACACTACATACAATTTCTGTTTGTAAGGATGGTTTTTTTTTTCCCTTTTCAATATGTAAACCAAGTTTGGAATTACAATTTTATGGTATAATAGGCGGCTAGCGTATAAAGATTTTCAGATTTTTTTTTACAACTATTTCATCTATATATTGAACTATCTTATTGATGATATTTGAGATTTAATAACAAATCGTGGGATGCCAAAGGGATAAAATAACCGGTTCCGCATGGACAAGAATATCCGCCGGCCGCGGATGCGCCCCTTGCCATGGCGCCTGAAGCCCTGAACACTCGGAGGCTCGGAGCAAGATGATTGATAATTAATCCTATTCGGCAGCCATCGCCATGTGCCAACGTACGTGTGCAGTAGCCAAGCCAAGGCACCGGCCAAGAAGATCTGAAGAACACGAGAGCCAAATTAGTTACCTGTCGGCGTCGGCGGTGCAGTTGGGCGTCCGGACGGAGCAGTCCGGCCCGGAGAAGCAGCGGTTGCACTCGCACCCGGGCCGCCCATCCTCGCCGGTGACGCCATCCAGGAACACGTTGCCGTGGCCGGAGCAGTCGGCGGCGGCCACGGCCTCGGCCTCCCTGGCCGCCTGCAGCGCCCAGCTCAGCCCGTCGCCGAGCCGCTCCGGCGTTGCCGTCGGCGAGGACCTGAGGAGGTGGTGCGCGAAGAAGACGGCGTTGAGCAGCAACGACGAGCAGAGGAGTGCGTGGAACGCGAGCCCTGCAGATCCCAGGCTCTGTGACCTATGCCGTCCCGTCTCCATTGCTTTCCTGTCTCGGGGTGTCTCCAATGACCTCACCGTCGGCCACTGGGCCACTGCACTGTGAGCCTGTGAGCCTACCGGTTTATTAATCGGTTTCTAGCACAGCGCGTGTGGCCCCAGCTTTGGTTCGATTATAAAATCTGTGCTTATAAAATATTTTGTCCAAATCGGAGTTGTGATCGCGTGCAGGTAATTCTTTCATACAAAGTACAATATTTTCGATTTGAACAGTCCCCGTCAATTATATGTTTTTCTGAGAAGTTTGAGATGCGTTTTTTGACAAATCAACAATGATTATATATATATATATATATATATATATATATATATATATATATATATATATATATATGTATATAGTACGCCTGACTATAAGGATGGGACGTAGTTTTATTTTTCTAATTACGCGGTATATACGTACGCACACACTGACACACACCATTATACTAAAAAGACCAGGACAGGGTAGTTGATCAAACTCTCTGACCTCATTCATGGAATTATTGGGCCGGATTAAACACTAATCACTAATGCTGTGGGAGAATCACCGTGGTGGTTTTCTTCCCGGTATATACTGATTTAATCTGAAAAGTGAAATGATATTATATTAAAGCGGGCCCTCTAGCAGCCATATGATAAGAACACTCCAACTACTTAATTATTTGCTGTCCCCTGATCTCAGGTACATCAAATAATGTTCGATACTAAATGCAAACAATTACTACATTTGCAGCACTATATAAATTGATGAATTAAAAAAATCACCGGTTGGATCACTTTTTATTGCTAAAATAAAACTTTAAAACATTCTTAAACCAATCTTTTCACTGTGAATCAGGTAACTTTATCATTTTTAATATTGGACCACCCTTCACGCAACTCTCTTTACTATTCATATAAACCCTTTATTACAGTGAAGATAAGGCGTTACATGGATAGGGAAGCTCACTGGTATATTAAAACATATTTGTTTGAGGTTGTTAATAAGTGCTGAAGAAGTTATTTAGGGTGATCCAAACAAAAAAAATAGCAAAGTTACCCGATCCAAAGTAAAAGAATTAATTTAAATATATCTAAAGTGAAACTTTAATAATAAAAGATGACCCAAATTATAATTCGCTCTAAATAAAATAGTACTACATGACACATCATCACAGTCCGATGGTTAAGAAATTAATGCAAGCAGACCATTCACAAAGTAGCGAGAGTACGTATAAGGGAAGGAGTAAATTTCGTAAAACTAAAATAATACTTTATAAAATTATGAAACTATTCATTTGTTGTGAAATATCATATTTAATCAATAATATTCTATAGGATAGATATAACAAAGGCAGTGGATTGTCTCACGTAATTTTGTGCTGTGTTACACTTTACATGACAAACTTTTAGCTTCCATTTCATATATGAGTTTTATAAGGAGAGTTCGATTTAATATATAACTCTTTAATATATAGTATTTCTATAGGCACAATTGCATGTTGTACACAACTACACGGTTAATCTAGACCCACAATGCATTATTTTTTTCCATTAATTTTTTTACAAATACCTTATGAAAATATTGATGTTTAATGGCAACATTATTTCCACGAAACCTTGTTTATCTCTACATAACCATTGTTGGTCATAACGAAATACATAGAATGAATTGAAAATTGACCATTCTGATGTAAATTAGAACTAAACATATATTTGCTTGAGATGGATATCCTTGTTATTTGCAAACAGATCATGTTATAGAAGTAAATTCTGACCAAACAAAAGTTGATGAAATGATATATTGTGAGGTATAAAACTCATGATAGCCTTGTGACTCTTCTGTATCAATATATATGTGGCAAAGCTTTTGCTCTTTTTTAAAAAAAGATAGCCTTGTGACAAAATTAGTGCTAAATATTACGATGATAAGGTATAAGTATATTGGAAGTGTAGGTGCTTGTATGTTTTTTTTTTAAAAAAAACATACCTTTCTCATCCTTTATTTAAACAAAGTCCCTTCTTTAGACTAATAGAAAATAAATTTTCTGTTCATGAAAAAAAACATGCAAAAATACTCAAGCATATAAACGTAAAAATAAAACCATATAAAATAACAAAATCCCAACTAAAATAAACGAAAACTACACAGTCTAGCGCTACGATTTTAGGCTTAGTAATATGTAATTTGTATTTTTTTTAATAAATTTTAAGGCATTTAAAATCCAGTAGCAAATACCAAACATATGGTTTTTAATAAGCACGATTGCTAAAACTATCATATCGTAATATTACAACTTAAATATGTATATTTGTTTTATCTACAACCAAGATAATAAATAGCGTATAGTAAATTGGTAGCGGATTAGTGACTGGGTAGCGGATTGCGGATAGCGGGCGCTATTGCGGACGCTAAGTTTCAATAGCAAAATTAAGAAAAATAACCATAAATTTAGATTTTATATCAAGATTAACATCAAGTTTCACTTAAAAATTAAAATTTAAACTGCATGCTTAATTACTTCTACATTTCATAACATAAAAATTATGGAATAACATATTAATATATAAGATAAAGAAGGCACATTGTACTAAGTTATTCTATCCATATGTAAAGAACATCATTTTAGCATTATAGAGATCCAACAAAGTCAATAACAGACTGTATAGCGGTCGCGAAACGCTATAGCGGCTGCTAAGTTCCAATACGCTATATGTAGTCCGCTACTATCGCTATTTATTACCTTGTCTACAACTACTTTAAAAGTACAATCCTGCTCTCTTCCCTAGCGTGCGTAGCACGAGAAAATCCTGTAAACTGAACCGGCCCACCTCTACCCCGTATCATCAGTTAATAACCCTCCTACCCTCACCGTTTTTCTCAGTTTTTTTCAATTTCTTTTCTCCTCTAGATAGCTGACACATTGCTTTATTAGTACAGTGCTCCTCAATTAGACCAGAAAAACCTGCAGCAGGCTGTTTAACCGGTCAAAATTACTTTAAATCCCATGAAAAATCTGCCGTTGAAATGCACAGGTATATCACTGTATTATATCTTTATCTTTACATATTATAAAATATAAAAATTGAAGATGTTTTTGTCTGTACTTTGATACGTCATCCGTGTATGAGTCGGTTTTTAAGTTCGTTCGCTTTTGGAAATATAGATCAGTATTTGAGTCGGGTTTTAAGTTCGTTAGCTTTTGGAAATATGGATGGAGTTGTATAAGAAATCTCTACCTCTACTATTATAAAAAAATAAAGATGTTTTTGTTGGTACTTTTGGTACGCCATTTGTGTTTGAATCGGTTTTTAAGTTCAATCGCTTTTGGAAATACATATCCGTGTTTGAGTCGGTTTTTAATTGTGTTCGTTTTTAGAAATACAGAAGGAGTCATATACAAATCTCTTTAAAAAACTTACATGCTAATTTGAGACGATCGGACCCCTAATTGCGGCTCATGATTTTGTAAAAAATATATCTAAGCGAATTCTTACGGTTAATTTCACTTTAGCTAAACCGTACAACAACAATAAGATTAAAATATCCTTCACCCGTTGCAACACACGGGCATTTTTCTAGTATTATAAAAGTTTAAGATGTTTTTGGCAAGAATTTTGGTACGTCGTCCGAGTATAATGCGATGTGCAGTCCGATACCCTCCCCGTGCATTTCTTTTTTTGCAATTTTTTGCCTTATTTTTCAGTCCGATTCCCTCCCATGCACTTTTTTGCGATTTTTCTAACAAAAAACTAAAAGAATCGAACTCTAATCCAACCAAATAAAATCAGAAGAGAGATCCACAAGAGAACTCAAATACACCATAAAAAAAAATCCACGAGCAGATCAACCAATTGCTCCCAACCCCTTTGCCCAAAATCACAAAATCACTCAATTGCAATCCCAAATCAAAATCAAGAATCCCCTACAAAATCAACATCCCAAATAAAAAAAAAACCAAACCCTAACCCTAGCCACCTCCCACAGCAGTCCTCCCCGTGGTCGCCGCCGCCGCCGCCGTCGTCGTCTGCCGCTGTGGTCGTCATCGCCGTCGTCGTTGCCATTGCCGTTGTCCGCATCACCGCCTTCCACCGCGACCAGCTCCCGAGCCCACCGCCGCTCCTGGCCGCGTCGCCACACTAGGAATGGGGCCGACACCGCCACTGCCGTCAGATCCGCCACAGGAGGGAGGCGAAAGGGGTCGGATGGAGCCGCCACCGCCTGATCCGTCCTCAGCCGCCACCATTGCGGCCGGATCCACCTGCGGTCGCCGTCGCCGGACCCATCACGCGAGAGGCGTGAGAGAGGGCGAGGGGAATGACGGTTGGGAGGAAGAGAGGGAGATGAAGCGGCGCCGCCGGTGGGTGGAGGGGGAGCGGCGCCGCTGGGGAAGGGGAGGAGGAGCGGTGGAGGGGGAGAGGCGGCACCAAGAGAGAGAGAGAGAGGCGGCTCGCGGACTCGCGGTGGGGAAGGAAAGGAGATAGTGAATGAGGGTTAGGGTTAGCGGTTTTGATGGATTCAGAATCGATCTGAGCCGTCAATGAAAATGAACAGCTCAGGTTGATCCGCGTCGGGCCGGCCTCCCTTCCTGGGTTGCAACACTGCTGGGATGCTGGGCCGCGCGTGCGAATGCCCTAGCAGGCCGGCGGGTCTAACCTCTAAAGAGGCCTTTTCTTCTTTTTTTTTTGAACTTTCATTATTTCTCTAGAAATATATTTTCTTAAAGGCCCATATCATGAAAAACTCAACCCTAATAATATAATATTTTATATTTGGTAAAATTTTAGTTTACCCGTTGCAACGCACGGTTATTTTTTTGCAGTGTTATATAAAAAAAAATCTATGCTACAATTTCATTGTTGGTCCGTTCTAACGGTTTTCTACTTCTTGTTGTTTCCTATATACGCGCGGAAAAGTCAGCTAAAATCTGCTCTTATTCCACGAACCATCGAAGTCGAGCCACCAGTCACCACAAAAATACTGCTAGAGGGAAGAGAGAGAGATTCCACTAGATTCTTATATTCACTAGTCTATTGCGATGAGAAAATTATAACCCTGATTCCCCGAGATTTTTTGATGGACTGATTCCCCAGT